GTGATGGTTTCTGCTTCATATATTGACTCCTCTTCCAAGAACTGTTCCAGTGCAGTGGGTATTGGACTGATTTTGAAGGGGAAAAGAGCTAAGGGAAGCTAGCCTGCAAAATCGAGGATCCCTGCCTGACTGCATCCCTTCTGGTTTGTTTGCAGAAGATGAAAGGTGCAATTTGTTTTACTTTTCTGCATGTGAAAGAACTCATTTGCTGGCTGGGAGCTGAGAACTTCATCTGGGGTCTTATCAGAAGTGATATTTTTTAATCTGCTGTCTTTATGATTTAGAAGTGAGGACTTGGTTGAAAACCCAGATGTGGTGAATAAACGTTCAGGGTTTATCATGGGTTTTGGTGGTTGTGTGGGGTTTGCTGGTGGGTTTTTTTAGGTTTGGTTTGTTCGGGTTTTTTTTTAACTCTCTTCTCTTCCCCCCCTCCCCTACCCCACCCCACCTCTCCATGTCTTGGCAAATATTTTAAAAAATGAGAAGCTGTTGAGTTTGTGCTTGGTCCAAAATTAATTTAGAATGAAGTAGTTCAGTCACAGGAGGTTTCAATTCACCTTTTTCTCAATATAAGCTATGCTGAAGATAAAACTAAAATTTTACACGTTGTAGTGCCTTTACTCAAGCACTAGACAGCTTTCAGAGGGTGAGCAAGCATTAAACATTAATTTTTTTATCATCAGAGATAAGTTCTCCCTCCAGCTGCTTGGCAATGATGCATTTTTTTGTGGTGCTGCTTTTTTTTTTTTCTTTTTTTTTAATTGACTGGTAGTATTTATTAAACCACAGGTAGTCTGAGGAATTTCTGAAGCTTCGTGCAGCAGAGCTGGGTAGTTCTTTTGGACAGCTGAGTGGACTGCTCATGCAGCAGGAGCCTGTTGCCAAAGAATTATCTTCATATGCTCGGTGAAAATGGAATACTGCTTGTGTATGTTTTCTGTGAGATGTTGTTATAAAGTTAAGAAAGATTGTTTTCCCAATATAATCCTAAAAATGAAATACTGTTATATTACAATGTAGCAAATCTGCATTTTGTGCATAAATTATTTAAATAGCTAGGAGTAGTGAAATATATGCTGTTAAACATGTCAAATCAGATGATTAAGTGACTGGATTGTTAGGAAGAAAATAGTAATTTTCTGAAAAATCTACATGAATGATTTGGCACAATGAGCTGCAAACATTACCAAAAAAAAAACCTTCTTCTGAGGAAAATTTGCTAGCTGAGGATCATGTTTTTATGCACTAGTTATTAAAACCAGGAGGTATAAGTGAAAATATTCCAGATTTTCTCAAGTTAATTGACAAGCTCCTTTCTTCCACTGAAATTATTTTACCTGCTGACAGCTGAGTGGGTGGCTCTCTGTGGTTTGGGATCTGACATACCCAATATGTTAGCAGTCACTGCTGTTAAGCTGATTTCTTCATGATAGTGAGACTGTGGAAATGCTTCCCAAGACAAACTGCTGCTCTGAAAGGAGTTGAGTTTTTGCATGAGTAACCGGACCGTGGATCAAGGAGAGAGTTCTGCTACGTGAATTACTTTTTGTGTGGTTTATATGTACACAAGAAATGCTGGAGCCAAGTGAGACCGATGTTAACGCAGTGGCGTTGGATGAGTACAGACAAAGGGTTTGTCTGAGCATCGTCCTTGCTCCTGATGATGTGTAGAAGGAAGAAGAGAGTCCAGCTTGACTCAAAGCCCAGGCTAAAATTTTTTGAGCTAGCCATTTAAAAGAATTGTCTTATTTGTAGACCAAGCAAACTTGTGTATCAGTGGTTTTATGTCAATAAACATGCAAGCCTTGTATACTGTTTTCAGAAGTGCTTTGAGAAAAGCCATCTTTACCCTCTGTAGAGCACACTGTGAAATCTCAGCGAAGTGAAGGCAGCTGGGTAACTGTTTTCTTTGATCAAGAAGTGCATTGGTCTGAGCTGTGGTAACATGAAATCAAAAGTGAAATCCAAAGTCAGAAGCAAAGACCCTTCTTAATATTATTCAGACTTAAACTAAACTGTGACTTTGGTGTTCCTGGGCTTCATGTTGAGTGCTTATTGAACCCATTTTTTTCTGTGGCACTAGTTCTGTACAGAACTGTGGTCCAACCCCTGGCCATACCAATAAAAATATTTTTAAGTAGAAGTTAACCCATAACTGGTTTTGCATGTTGCTTCATGCTGCAACTTGATATGTGGTTAATCTTTCTGTGCATTCCCTTGCTGAAACGAGTGGTCTAAGTCAGTGACTGATGTGAGACAAGCTGTATTGGGAAGGAGATGAAATGATCCTTCCAGACAGTCAGGTGTCAACAGGATGGTGTTGACAAAGAGAACTTGGATGAGAGCAGTCCTGGTGATCATCTCTGTCCTTATGCAAAGACAGTGTCTCGCCTAAAGTTTTATTCTGTCCACAGTGTTGTTGTGCTAAATCCCTGCTTCAGAATAGCGTTGACGCAGCTGGTGTTATATTATCTGAGTTGAGTCATTCTTCTTGGTCACCCCCAGTCCTCTGATATGACAGATAAGTGCTTTCAAAGCGCTGTTTCAAACCATGGGTTGTATGTGTGCTCAGCTTGGTTGTTCCATTTCAACAGGAGTTAGAAAGCGTGCTGGAAATCTACAGCAAGCAAATCCCAGGAGGACTTCAGCTCCTGCACTGTCTGTCTCTGTTTTCTGTCCTCTCCTGCCCTTCTGTGCTCCCAAACCAAAAGTAGATGTAGATGTGCTAGTGGAAACTTGTACAAGCAAGACTTGCGGAGCTGACCAGAAACCTACCTCACATTCTCAGTTTTCTCTGCTGATGATGGCTTGTGCCATTAGAGCGAACCACATCGTCATCTCTTGTATTTATTCATACTTCTTGCTGAAGTTCCATAAAGCCTACTTTACCAGACTGGCTAATTGAAAGCATTTGTTCAAAGCATTGCTGCCACATCAGTAGTAAAAGGCTCAGCAAGGACAACGAGGACCCGTTGATGAAAGGTGTGGGTGATCCAGTAACAGCAGACCCAGTTCAAGTTGGGATCCTCAATGCTGTGTTTCCTCAGCCTTCAGAAACAAGGACTCCCGGGCTTCTGTGCTTAGTGAAAGGCATCAAGAAGGAGGAGAACTACCAGCAGTGGATGAGGGTCAAGTCAAGAATTACTTATAAGGACTCGACCCATGCAAGTCCATGGGCCCAGATGGGCTGCATCAAAGGGTGAGCAGCAACCCCTGGGATCAAGAAGACAAGAGCTGGCTAACTTTTTCCTGGTGAAATCTCTCTCATTTTAATTGTGGTCGTGCTCGTTTCTCTGCACATACCCACTGCTCCTCCTGCTTCCTTGAGAGATCATTGCTCTGGATGGAAACTGTAGCAGAGTTCTTCTTTGGGTACATTTTGTCATTGAAGACTCGTGCTCTGAGCAGCATGACTTCCTATAAAGAGATTTTTAAGGCAGAATTTGCATTGCAATGCCTGAGCTGTTCTTGTTTCTGAGGTTATTTGTTGTGGCTTCTGAAACGTGGTGATTTTAGTCGCTTCTGTTGCTTCTAATTGAAAAGTGTAACTTGCTACTGAATAGAGAAATGATTTCTTGATGTGCTGGAGGTCTTTGGGTATTCCATCCCTGTTCTAGGGAGCAGTGATACCCTTTTCCATATATCCACATAAGTAAGGAAGTTTCTGCATCTCCAACTGTCAGGAATGTACTTTGGCTGACGAATGCAGTCTAGCTTAAAGGCGAGATCCCATAGTGGGTCAGTGAAGCTTTATTGGTCTGCCAGACCAGATTATCATTTTATTTAACCAGAGGAGTAGTTTTCATTGTCACTTGATTGCCAAGGGTCTGTCAGCATTTCCATTATAAACCCCCTATTTTCAGGGATTTGAGTAGACTGGAGATTTAAATGTTCTGGTCTAAAACTTGGCAAGCGTGATCCAAGTTCACCAGCGGATATTTTCTTTATGAGATTTTAAAATAGTCAGCTGTTTCTTAAATTGTAGAGAAGGCAAGGAGGTTTTTTTTCCTCTTGGTTAAACAGATAGGAGTATTTTTTCCATCTCATTTATTCCAACTAGATTTATAAAAATAAAACCCTATTCTGTTGCTTAAAAAAAAAGGGGGGGGGGGAGAGGGAGAGAAAAAGGAAAATCTGCCTCTGTCCTGTTCTGTTTGCCAGAGGATCATGCCTCAAAACCTCCCCTTTGCTTTGGTCTATGGTTGGTGAAGTCCCACCCACACTCTCTGTCCCTTTTCTGCTCCCCTTTACTTATTTCCCTTCAGTGTATTTACACTCTCACTACATTAAGTTGCAGCGTTTCTTCTTACTCCATTCCTGCCCCTTGCCTTCCATTTTGGGGCTCCAGCACTTGATTCTGATGAATCTGGCTATTTTACCTCTCTCTAAAAGGGAACTCTGAGGGTATTCTTAAGTGATACGACGTACCTGTGGTAACTATAAACTCTAGGAATTGTCTTTATATTGTGTATTACTCTTTATTTGATGTACTTTAATCCTTAACTGAAGGTAGCATGCTGTATCATCATTTTCTAGCGCTTTTCTGAGACTTTACTGTGACTCCAGAGTGAAGAACTTTATTTCTTTTTTCTCTTTTTTTTTTTTTTTTAACCAAATCTTTAATGTAGACTGAAAAAAAGCGAAGTGTGATTGGTGCAGAACACCACTGTGGGTTTTCATGGCTGGGCTCTTTTAGTCATTTCCTGAAAGCTTGGTGCAGAAATGTGACAGCGCAGGAAGCAGCAGCGAGCGTAGTGAGGCTTCATGTGCCGTTAGAAGTTGGCTTGCTTGATGTGAGGGCACGTCCTTCTTGCTGAGATGTAGAAATACCTGGTTCTGAGGTTGATGCTCAAGCTCTTCCGGAAGAACCTCTGCTGTTTTGCAGTCACAACGGTGAATAAAATGACTGGGACATTAAAATGGTGAGTGAGGAACTGCAGCTCTATGATTCTTAAGCAACAAGGAATGTAAGTTCAGAGCTGAGTTGGAAGGGCTGGAAAATGAGTGCTTTCAAAAAGCACAACAGCCTCTCTCCCAGGACCTTCAGAAGATCATTGTCAGAACAAGATGCTGGTACTGCTGCCTTGAAGGACTACCATTGGTACCACCAAATGAAAAGCAAGAAGATGAATAAACAAATGAGTTCTGACCCAGAGAAGCCACTCGGAGAGTACAGGTGGCAGACACATCCTCGGCTTCCCTGGAGGATAAGCAAAAGAGAGCACTTGTGCAGCCTGAAAGGGGAATGCAGTGATGCAGGTCTTGCCAAGAGTTCTGCAAGCGTGGGTGCTACCAGTGCTGATGATCTCCACGAAGACCCAACAGAGACACCTTTCCAGGCAAGGACTAGACCATTTCGGGTTCCCTTCAACCGCTCTCTGTCTGAACCCGTGCCACACGTTGGGAACAGGAGTGCAAAGCCATTTTTGCAAGCTGTGCATTCAGTGGACTCTGAACACCAGGGCTATTTCATCCGTGGCATTTTCTCCTCTCTCTCAAGTGGCTTTTCAAAGATCATAAGTCGAAAAGGGGAGCCTGGCAGCGAGTCAGTAAATGAAGAGAAGACAGACAGTAATCAGATTGCTTTGGATACAGGTAATGAACTCAATTTTGTTTTGTTCTGCTTCTGTTTGTGTAGCAGGTGAATATAGTGAGACATTCTTTGAGACATACAGTAGTTGTTGAAATTGTTTGTTTTTTTTAACTTAGTTTTATTAATGCAACATTGCAGCTCTCTGATATTCTCCCTTCATTTAGAAAAAGCAACTGAAAAAGGGCCTTTCCTGATAAGGAAGTGGTGTGAGATGTTTTGACATGTGCTTAAAAACTTGGAGGTCCCTCTAAAACAAGCATCATCTGGTAGAATCAGTAGCATTTCTCTCTCAAATGCTCCCTGTGTCTCTGATGTACGCAGTCCTGCACACGCAGTAGCGTCTGCAGTGGTGTAGTGCCCTGATTGAGATATCCAGTCTGCTACTGTAAAGTAAGTGCTAGGGAGAGAAAGAAATTAAGCTGTCTTTTAAACAGTGATCAAGACAGTGGAACGAATCTAGTTCCTCAAACCAGATTGACAGTTTTGTAATCAGCCGACTAAACTGATGTCTGCTCTCGGGTAGATGCCAAGGACAGCAGCGTTGCAGAGGTTTAGCCAGCTGGGATTGAGGTCAGCAAGATGCCAGTCCGAGATTTCCTTTAAATCTACCCTGTTGATAACAACACTCATGAAGCAGGGGAAAAAAAGGGAGAAAAGGAGAGAAATTTGCCTTCTGTTCTCTCGGTCTTTCCTGTAACTTTCTAGTTGGCTACCCAGCCTGAACCAGGTAACTGATGATGCTTTAAAAAGCCACAAAGTTTAAATTTGTAATAAAACAAAAAATGAACCTTCTTTTTCCCCAAAACCTCAGCACTTTCCAGAGTCCTCCAGATTATTGCATTGAAAACCCAATAACATCTGGGTACAGTTGAGACTGCTGGACCAGTCATCAGTATTCAAAAAAACTCAGCTTGATAGTAGTAGTGAAAGAAGAATATACTCTGTCTACAGGGGTATTCAGTCTTTCAGTCACAGTGGAATGTCCCTGACAGGCTTATGTTTGCTCCTGGAAGCAGTCACATTGCTTTAAAACAAAAACAAATGGCCAAAAAGAGGAACTAAGTAAGAAGGACTGGATCTGTTCAAACCTAGTTCCATACAGTCCCTGATTTGTGTTTCTTCAACACCTTCTCAATTGGAATCTGACTTGATGATGCCTGTTAAATTGCATGGAATATATATAATTTTTTTTTTTTTAGAGAAAAAGAAGTAATAGAACTAATTTAATATTTTTTTTGAGTGCTTCTTGTTTTAAGGGGTTGGTAGGTTTGGGGTTTTTTGTTTGTTTGTTTTCCTCTCTTCTCTAGTCATTCACATTAGAAACAAAGATTTCTACTGCAGGCACCCACTGTTGTTGAGACCTCCTGGGAGACTGAATTACTATTGCAGACTACTTGGGACAGTTTTTCTGTTTGATCTCTTCTGGATCAAAATCTTGCAGTCTATGAAGGACAGAGCATGCTGTGGTTCCTTTTTTGTCTTCTCTGTTCTGCTGCACTTTGATAACCAAACGGTTCTCAGAATTCCTAAGTATTGTCAGTCAACTAGGTTATTGGGTTGCTTTGCTTTTAGTAGCATGAAAAGTGACAGAGGAAAAGGTTTCTTTGTGAGAAGCCACCACTTGGTAAATATTTGATGCACTTTTGGCTCTTTGGGGTCAGACAAACCTCTGTCTGAGCCTGCTGGAACTAGTTCTGCAAAGAGTCACAGCTCAGGAACTGAGAGAGAAACAGTGGCACTCTAGATTAAAAGTCAAACTCTCTCGAGGGAGGAAGTCGTAGTCGGGAAGGTGTTTGGGGTAACAATGTGCATGCAGGTACCCACAAAATCACCTGAAACAGCCAAGTCCTGCTTGAGATGCTGTTGTGGCACCACAGAGCTTTTGGTGGGATGGACACCTCTGTGGAGCTTCTTTTCAGCCTTTGCCTTGTCTAAGGTTCAGCCTCTGATCTTCAAGTAGACAACAGCTTAGGTTTAAGAGAGCTGGTTCACCCTGTAAGACATGCTGCTATGTGGGATATAGCCATGGGACAGCTAATTGCTTACCACTGGTTTTATTTTTCCTTAGAAAAAGGAGCATCTTGCCAGTGTTAGCTGGAGCTGCTGGGTAGAGTCTCCTGCCCCACACAGTACTGTAGGCTGAGACCTGATGAAACAGTGGCAGGACTTGTGAACTTCTGGGGTTTAGATCTCATGTCTGAGTGAGGTAATTTGGAGAAAAAAGGGTCAAGAGAAATATATCTGGTCTGTTATGGTCTTCAGCCACAGTCTAGATGCTCAGAAGTGATAAAATCTCCTGTTTTCCTTCCAAATAGCACATGAGTTCAGTTCTATAAGGGGGTCACCGAGTTTTCTACTGCCAGTTTTGGTGCTTGGGTGGGCAGAAGGTATCTTCCCATACCTACAGTCTAGTCCTATCTATTGTTCAAGGAAAAATCCAAGAAAATGGATACTGTTTTCCCCTCCAAGAGAGACAGAATTTGGCAATCCTCAGGCAGCTGAAGTCTATGGTAAAAGTCCTCAGGCACGTATTAGCCAAGAGATGGTGTGAGACATGGGGTTTCTCCAAAGCAAACAGTTTAACTTGGAAAAGCTCGATGGGAAGTCTCCCGGGAAACATTTATTTGGCCAGAAATCCTTGTCACTAGGAATCAAACCCAAGAGGACCTTTTCTGTGTTGTTCTGTACTCAAGGGGAAAGGTGTGCTTTGGAGTTCAACCAAGAGAACCTGGAGGCATGCTTTCAGTCTCTCTTCTGTCCAAGGGCCTGAGTCTTTACTTCCATAAACTCACTTCATTAAAAGTATTTCCACTTTCCTCTGAAATACCTGCGGATTAACAACTTTTTAAAAGGTTACCTTCCTTCCAGCACTTGCTTGGCCTCTTGTATTTTGCTTCATCTCTGCAGCAGAATTGCAGAGGCTGGGTTGTCTGCGTAGGTTTGCGTAGAGATTGGTGGAGTTTGCTGCTGATCTTTGTAAGCCCAGGGAAGGATCAGTTCCCTTTTCAATAAATGATTACCTCCTAAAAGAGGATCAGTTATTTTTTTGGCAACTTGAAGAGGGAAGTGGGATTTTAAAAGAAAAGGAGGGGAAGAAAAAAAAAAATCTGGATAAATATTTTCCAGTTGGTCTCACAGTCTAGAAAGCATGTTCAGACACTGCTTCATCAGTTCTTGGCTGTAGAAATCCCTCCTGGATCAACTCACTCATCCTCTGTGGTGATGAAAGGATGCTGACCCTCGGGAGAGCTGCCTCCTTTGGCTCTGGGCAGAGCTCTGGCGATTTGCAGAGGCTCCCGACGCGTGTCGTGTGCTTTCTGCAGCGCCCTACAGCGCAGGTTTGGGGAGGAAGATGAGGGATGGAGCAGATGATGGGTGGGCAGAGCAGAGCTCTCTCTGGTCTTCTGCGTGGAGCCTCACAGGAGAAGCTTGGGCCTGGTTTGGGTGTGAATGAAGTGCTTTTGGTGCATGTGTGCTGACTTCTAACCACTTCTAGAGCCGGGCATTTTGAACCAGCATTTCCATTAGTGGATGCAAAGCCTGAAGGTGAAAGGATTTGCGCTCAATATTAAGTTATTATTTATAACTGAAGAAATCTAAGAACGTTTTCATTTCTAGTAAACGTATCAGCTTGAGGAAGGAAAAGTGTCATTCTGATAAACTTGTTGATTGTGAACATAGCATGATTTCAGTAGAAACAAGATAAGGAGGGCGCTCTGCAGACAAAGCCTTGGATCCAAGGGTTGGAAGTGAGCTGCTGCACCTTCTTTTATTATTCCGGGGTATTACCAGTGACTCTTTAACACCATTGAGAATGGGTCTGTGAGAGACTTCTCAGATAACATTTATTTCTCTGTTCCTTCTTATCTCAAGGCAGTGCGAGTTTAATTGTAGATTGATGACAAAATAATTCCTCAGTGGAATCAGTTACCTCTATCTTCCCTGGGTATCTCTGGTTTGGATTGGGGAGGGGAGAGGGTAAACACTGATTTCTTTTATTTAGAGTACATTTAGCTTTCACAGTCGCTCTCTTGTTACAGTTTTTATAAAGACACTTCAGAATTATTTCCTTCTCTTTCTTCACCTGGATAAAGGTACGTTTCTTCAGTCTTTTAATTTTTATTTCATGCTTTAATTCATTTTGGAGAGGTTTTTTTGTGCTTGGAGTGAGAGAGAATATATTTTATATCCTTGCTTTTCTGGGATTGATTTGGGATTTTTTTTATAATTCACTAAAGTTACTCAAACTCTATGCTCTTTTTCATATCTTTACAGTCTGGATTAATTAAATTCTATTTCTTACATCTTTCCATATAAACTTAGTTAGAGATCTGTATTTTCACATTTATAACTCAAATTAAAGACGAGGCAGTTCTACATTCAGTCTCTTCTGGTGCATCCCAAAATACTGACCTGTTTCCTCCTGTCTGAGATGGGAATTTAGTATTTATTACTCACTGGAGCAGCTTTTCTGTTTTCATGTTTTTAAAACCACTGTTTCATTTTAGAAGTCCTTCGACTGACTCATGTTCCTCCACCCTCAAATCCCTTTTGCTCTTAAAGTAGTTTATTTTTGGTGAGGTTTTTATTAGGGAACTTTTACTCAGTTGAGCTTATTCTGTAATTCACACGTTCCTTTAAGTGCTGTGCAAATGGCAGTTTATATGCCTTCTGCTACGATCCCCCTACATTTTGTTGTAAGATAGAGTCTTAATGTTAAAACTCATCCACCCTGAATTGTCAGAACAGATTCAGGATAGCTGCTTATAATCCCTACGTTGCATTCAAATAACTAGAGGTTTTTTTGTAGAGCTGTAACTACGAAAATAACTCATTGCAGTCCAATATTGGTCTGTCTAGTGTGGCTTTGTGGCATTAAATATTGTGTTACATGGTGTATTGAAAATTACAGGGGGATGGGAACGCGCAGGGAAGTGTTTCTGGGATGTGAGAGTTTGGGGTATCACTTAAACACCCCCCCACCACCCTGCACCCTGGAGCA